AACTTTGGTGAATATCCTGATTAATAGAAGTACTCAAATCAAGATGGATGCATCTCGATATTTTAACCGGGTCAGGCCATCTAAACAAAAACAAAATATTCAATGTAAACAGGCTTTAGAACGATTGGGAGTTCGTGGCTAATAATTGTCATTTACTTGGTTAAAATTTATATATAAAGTGTATTCACCCTATTTCGTTTAAGATGATATAAGTAGTTGAATTTTTCCCAAAATGATATGAGTAGACCTTAAATCTCACTTGAATTTCACATAGCCTTGCTTTCCCAAAAGTATTATCATCCAGGGTGGACTGCAGTTTCGACCTCGTCTAGGTCTTATTAACGTCCCCATATTGATTAACGTGTCGAGATTATACGTTCGAGTCCCGCTGGGGTTCTTGAAAAAACCTTAGCGACATCGAAATTGCACTCCAGCCTGAATGAAAATATCTTGTGGGAAAGCTAGGCTATGCAAAATTTAATGCAACTATTAGATCTACTCATATCATTACGGGAAAAATTCAACTACTTTAAACGAAATAGGGTTAATACATTGATTATATAATTGATCTACTCGTAGTCTTGAAAACCTACTTGTTAACAAAACACAGGTTATTACTGCATTCGAATTAGTTAGGACTTAGATAGTTGTGATTAGGAGCTTAAGTCACTGTTGGTTGTTTAATGTGATGTAGAGCAAATAGTGAATTTTCCCACAATCACAAAAATAAGCCCCCAATGAAGTGGAATTTCACTTAGCCTTGCTTCCACAAGGTATTCACATCCAGGCCGCACTGTCGTTTCGAACTCGGCTAAGTCGCAGCGAACCCCTTAACGTATATCGGATACCGATAAGATGGCATGTAATTTTCACATGTTGTCATTACTCTTCGTCTGTTGCTTTTTACCCAATAATGATGGCTAAAACGACTAATTACTATATTTCTTTAACTTATATTAAGGCTGATTGTAAACACACAGTAATTGGTTTATGCATACTTATTCATTTTGAACGCTGACCTAGGCTAGCTCTTAAAGTGTGTTTTTTTAACTAGTGTGTCCATGGTTCGTAGTCCGTTAGTCCGAAATTTCCGTTCACTTTAAACTACGGCATTTTCTTTGAACGCATGACACAGTTACATGCCATAAGAAAATAGAGCCTTATTTTCAATTCGAGTCTGTCCACTAATCATATTCTAATTCCTGACAAGCTAAACGGAGCCGATCATTTCTAACCTAAATTACTCGTCGAGCGTGGTTCACTAAACAAACAGCTAGGTTTTTAGGAGGACTGGACTTTTTCTCGGAATTCCCTTCTTACAATGTGTACCTAAAAGGTGCACTTTAATTCAGGCTATATTTTATATTCAGCACATTCAAGCCTCATCACCGCACCCAGTGTAACTTGAGCCCATTAGTGATGAAGACTTGACTTTTTTCCCGAATCGCAACACCTTTATGCGATGTCAAGTTTAGCGCACTAGGCGGTCCAATTCGGTTGTTTGTTCCAACAGGCTGGAAGGAACATAAGCGCCAGGACCTGAAAAATCAGGTATTCAACATTGCATTCCCAGGCGAAGACACAATTATCGATGGCACTGACGAAATGCAACCCTTTTCAGAAGAACATGTACAGTTGATTTGACCTCGTTTTTACGGCAGAGTTATTTACGGATGGCCACTATGTTCCCTACCTGAACATCGACTGGGTTGAGCTCCATGCACTTGGTTGTCAGCTACCCTGAGGAAAGCCAGAAGTGGAACCAGTGCACGAATCAATTGCACTGTATTGCTGAGAGAAGTATGAAATTGTAGTTATCGAACTAGGTTGAGAGCCAATAAAGGGACAAGAATAGGACGCAGATTCTGGAGATGAGGCTTTTCTGATCCTTTACGATGAAAGGACTCTACGCTATTCTTGTTAAAGTTCATGGTTGGGGCTGTAAGCCTAAACTCAAATATCCTAGAACCCCAGTTTTTCTGCCGTTTGTAGGTAAAATCTTCAAACACCAACTATAAACAGAACATGAGAAGTATTCACCCTATTTCGTCTAAGCTGATGAAGGACTGGTAATATAATTTTCCCACAATGATATGAGTAGAGCTGACGTTTCCATTAAATTTCACATAGCCTTGCTTTTCCAAAAGTTATTCTCATCCATGATGGACTGCAGTTTTGACCTCGCACAGGTATTATCAACACTGCACTGTCATGTTTCGAGTCCCGCTGGGGGTGTTGATAAGACCGATGCGAGTTCGAAACTGCAGTCCACCCTGGATGAGAACAACTTTTGGGAAAGCAAGGCTATGTGAAATTCGATGGAAACGTCAGTTTTACTCATATAATTGTGGGAAAATTCTTCTACTAGTCCTTCATCACCTTAAACTAAATTGGGTGAATACATCTCATATTACTGATTTACTGGTAGTCTCGAAACTCTACTTACATACGAAAAATATAAGTAGAACAATTGAATGAGGTAAAGTCCCTGGGAAAAAGTCATTCACGAACTAGCGAATACAGAACAAAATGGAAATATGTCTTTCAAGCATTATGGTCAATAACTAAAGTGCGTACGCCTGTGATACGGAAAATACACTTAATCTGTCGCAGCGGATCATCATTCAAAGAAATTCGGGCAAGGCTGAGGCTAGCCAGAACGCATCTAGTTTGAACCATCCGGCATCCACGTGGGCTTTTAAAAGATATCTTTAAATAAGAGCAATTTGTTTGTAAAAAGGCCAAAAAGTTTTGCGACTTGGTAATTATATTCATTAGTATGCATATGTTTCGTTGAAATATCTCAACCGAACCGCATTAATTCATAACTCTATGTTATCCTGTTTAATACATTACACTAAATATTGAGTATAGATCAAATTGCAGATATTTTAGAACGAAATACTTTTTATATATCGATTTGCTCGATTCTCAGCTTTGATTAAGGCCAGATTAATGAACTGCTGTCATGACAGGACTGAATTACAGTGAAGCCGTTGTTTCAGAATATACCTTTTAGGTTGCTAAGTGAATGTAGTTTAAATCTAACCTCCATCCTCATTTTTTTGGGGACTAACTGGTTCTGACGGGTCAAGACCTTGCTTTTATACAAACAAAAATAATTGTTTATTTTAAAGAGTCACCGTTGACTATATAATGTCACATTTTGTAAACAATTCTTCTGTTTATGTTGAATGATTTCGTTGGGAAAAATATTTTGTTAATCATGCCTTATATACAGTTAGTGTTAGAGATAGAGCTTATACCTGCTAGATGACAAAATCTGTCAGAACAAGTATGTATTCCACAAAGATTTACCTATTTTTCTGAATAAAAATGATCCTATTCCTTTTATTTATATGGGAAAAATGGTTACAAAGGCCGGGATTGCTGCTGTCGATGATGTCGTCATTGTGTGGAGGTTGCTGCGCCTATTGTCGGAAGATGGAGATTGCCCCGCTATAGCTGATCCCGGTGCTTGTGCTGTCAATAATGATGATGATGATACTGTTTGGCAAATGGCATTGCTTGGTCGTAGCATTGTTCGCTACTTCACTAATACATTTTTCATTTTCTCGGCTGCTTTGCTCGGATTCCAGCCCATAAGAGTTTATTTGGAAACATTCTAACTTGGACCTCAAACAGATATAACATGATATTTCAGTATATTTGTCATTAGCTTTTCGCTTAGAGACCAACTTTGCTGTACACTTTTAGGTGAAACGTGCTTTTATTAGTAAAGCCGGCTTGACATCGATTTCGTAATTCAGTCCTGTTTTCAGGAAAACTCTAAATAACATAGTCCCCTGTCAGTTTTGTCATATTCTTCTCCAATTTCTGAACAACATGTTCAAGTTGTGAAAGTGAGGTCAAGTCACTTCATTACAAGGAAAGAAAACTGCGACCAGAGTATGGCTCACAATCAAAATCCTCCTATCTACATACAAGCATGCATGCATGCATGCAT